AGGTAGTGACAGCAACGGGTCTCGTTTCCCTCGCACTAGTAATCATATTTCAATTATTCTTAATAAAACCGAGAGCCGATGAGGCCTGTGGGTGAGCCTCCATAGCGGATCTCTTGTCAGTGTCGATTTGTGTAGCAGATTTGCCAAGAAACGGCAAAAGCAAACCCAAAACCAACAACAAAAGCCCTGTCTCACTGTTGCCTGGTGTTGCTCTCCCTCATTCATCCGCCTGCGTCGCTTTGTCACCTTCCACAGTTCCTGTCCAGCAACAGCCCCTGGGTGCAGACTTAGAAGTGATACAGCACAAACCGAGTGGATATTGATGGGCTTGGGGATTTTTTTTTTTGGTGGTTTTCTTTTCTCTTTTCTAACCCCAATAGTAGGCACGAGCGTCGCTCCAAAACACCAGCTGGCAAGGTGCGAGATGCTGTCTGGCAGCTGAGCGCTCCCAGGCTGCATTGAAGCGTGAGAAAACCCTGCACGAAGCTCCAGCCGTTTTGGGAGCAGCCTGTTTATATTCTCTCCGTGTCGTCTCATTACTTGCTTTCGCACGAACTTTACCACCATTGCCTATATAATTAAAACTCCCGGCTCTTTAAATTTGATGGGTGATTAAAAAAAAAGAAGAGAGGCCTCATGTCTTAATGAATTAAAAGCTTGCGTGGTTGTGTGGTCGCATTGAATCTGGCTCCTCGCTCCCTTCAGAAACACTGTGGTGGTGGTCCAGCAGGCTTTGGATGCCCGTCAATGAAGCATTAGTATGCAGACATACTAAATTGGTTTTTTTTCTTTCAAAAAGTCAATGAATTGTTAGAAAATATACTCAGTTTTCCACCATTTACAGTAATTTTGCTGTGATATTCCCAGAGAAATATTGCTGTTTGTGTAATAAGAGTGAAAAGAAAATATGCTTTTCTTCACAAGACAGGGATGCAAATCCTATTTAGGATGGGTTTCATGTTTGCAGCGTTGAGAGGTTTGTCTCTGATGGAAATCACGTGTATGTTTAGTTGTTTTAGACACTGCAGGTCTCAGATGACTGGGATTTAACAGGGTTATTCATTCAATAAGTGAAGAGACATGAGGCAGAGCACAGCTCGTATGAATTTAACAAGTAAGGACTGTCCGAATGTGACCCTTACCCTCTGAAAAGACAATCCTCTTGCAATGACACATGCAAATTCAAATGTTTAATCACTGTGACACTGGACCCTGCACTTGGGAAACTGTTAAATTTAAATCTGATTTTTACTAATCTAAGAAAATTTACTGCGCGGGAATTGAAAGGTGCTTGAGGGAGCCTGGCATTGGCTGAAATCTGTTTTAATTACCTACTAAATGCCTTAATTACATACTAAATACACGTGTTGTCTGCGCGAGAGGAAGGGGAGTCGCTGTGGTGATTGGGGTGAATTTGGGTAACCTCACCTTTACAATGTGCCCTGTCTCTGCGCGCAGGCAACGGGACAAGCGCCCAAATCGGCCAGGACGGTTGTCATCGCTGGTGTCCCTGATGGCCTCCTGCACGACGATGTCATGACAGACATCCTGGTGATCCACTTCCAGATGTCAAGGAATAACGGGGGAGATGTGGAAGAAGTCACGTATCCAACAGCGAGAAAAGGGGTCGCATACGTAACTTTTGAAGATCAAGAAGGTATTGAGATGAATACGCAAAGCACAGCCGTCCCCCAAGGAATCAGCCCTAGAGTGTAAACCCTTAAATCATTTTAAGTTATTTACTAGGATTTTATAGAACAGAGGAGACCAACACTTTTCTTTTAGTCAGTCAGAGTTTTAGGGTTTTCTATCTGTTCAGTGAAGACAAGGCTCTGAACAGGCTTTGTGCAAAGCATTTGTTACGTTTGTTTTTTAGAATAAATTTTTACTGTGCATAACAGATATGATTTTTGTAGTCAGGCATTTGAGAATAAACCTCTGCCAGTTAATGTTCTGTCTCTCTCTGAACAATTTTGACTAATACATAATATATGAGGCAAGAGGATTGACTCGCCTGCGTGTATGTATGAGAAATGGTTAGGGAAAGCATCAAGAGAAAAACACCCGTGAAGTCATGCAAGCTGGAGCATAGGAGGTTCAACCTGAACATAAGGAAAAGCTTTGTGAGTGTGAGGGTTATGGAGCATGGCCCAGGCTGCCCAGAGAGGTTGTGGAGTCTCCTTGTCTGCAGACACCCGAAGCCCTGGCCGTGTTCCTGTGTGACTGCTCTGGTGCTCCTGCTGTGGCAGGGGTTGCACTGGGGGAGCTTTCCAGGTCCCTTCCAACTCCTCACATTCTGGGATTCTGTGTTGTGCCATCAGTGTCGTCTTACTGTGCAACGAGTGAATCTGCCTTTCTCTTCAGTTGTAGAGAGGGTCCTAAAGAAGGATGAGCATCGCCTGCAAGACAAGAGGTTGGCCAGATACTACCCACTGACAGTGACCCGTTACTGTGAAAATGTAAGCTCTTCATAGTTTATCTCATCCTACTCCCATTCCTATGTTAACCATGACTTAACTTCTCTAATTCAAAATTCCAGGTCTTCATCTCTGTCACCTCTGTCATCAATATGTCTGTTTTCAAGGACCAATTTGTTTTGGAAGACCTGATACAAGAACTTAAAAGGAAGAGCACAGCGTTGAGCTTTGGTCCTTTGCAATCCAACGGGCATATTTCTGTCCAGGGCTCGTTTCCAGCAATCGAATTGCTCAGGGACTTTCTGTTACTAAAAGCAAAATCCCTTTCAGAGAAGGACTTGGGAGAAGACAGTAAGATCCATCAGGGACCAAAGAGGAGACTGCAGCAGAACAGACTTCCTACAGCAACGAGTAATCCCATTCGTGATGCAGATGGGGAAAAACACGTGGTGGTTCTGGACACGGATATTTATCTCTACATGAAGCACTTTTTTCCCAGGACATTCCTAGCAAATGATGGTGGTGTCATTTCTGGCGTCACCGATGGCGATATAACGACAGTGGACATTGGGAGAGCTGGAAGCGGGTCTGGTGCTGGACAGGGATTGAGACTCAAGGAGAAAATTGAAAATCAGTCTATAGAACTCCACAATTATTTGCGTAAAGAAAGGATCGACTTCAAGGAGCTCAGCAGAGATGAAAAGCGGAAATACAAGCAGGTGTGTGAAAGTCTCAAATCCCGCTACCCCCACGTTCTGATCATTCGTTATGATACTCACATGGATGTCATAGGAAGCTCCGCTGACATTTTTGGGTTTACCAAGGAAGTGAGCAGTAAGGTTCAGAGCCTGTTTCAAACCAGGTAGAAAGTCTGTGTGGTTTTCACACTGTGCACCTCTGCGTGCCACGTTTCTGCCACTCACAGGCTGGGAAATCTGCACATGAGGGTGAACAAAGCCCATTCCCCCCAGACACCAAATTAAGTACAGAATAGGAAAGAAATAGTCTTTGTACTACTCGTGAGCTTAGAGACCAAAGAAATTAGCCCTCTTTTGCCCAGATGGAGCCACCTTTTCCCTTTTGTGAGCTGCACTCTGGGCATATGTGCGCTCATTCTGTCTCGCTGTCAGGGAGCATATGATGAGACGAGAGAGTTTTTTACTCCATTTACTCCATTTACCACAACCCTCTGCACCCGACCATCCATGTTACACATGTTACCTGTGTTCAGAATGCTTCGTCAAAACCCACAGAGCACCAGCTCTTTTGCCTTATATGTAGGAAAAGTTTTATGGTTTTATGTCATTAAAGAAATTAGCTATACAGAGTATTGTGTCTGTGTTTTTTAAACACACCCCCAGGCTTTTTTGGTTGGAAGCCCAAACCCAAACGCTTCAGGCTCTTTCTTGTCATGACTGATTATCCCTTGCAATTACAGCCAGTGAAAGATAAAGTTGTTAAATCACAGAATCCCAGAATGTGAGGAGT